CAAGTCCAGGTAGTCTAGGACCCAAAGCATGCTTTACTTGCCGTACTTGTAACTTGGTTGTCAATTCGAACTGCGTAAATCATATCGAACTTGGCAAATGAATTTCTAAAAAAAAAAGTTAAACATCATTTTCTTGACCGCTAAAGAGAAATTAACATTACTTTGGGTAATTGTCTTCCTGATGAATTCTTGATTGATTGTTTGATGTGTTTATCTGTATTTGACCGTGTCACATGTATGATTGGCTAGCTTTAAAAAAAAAAAAGAATTTGCACTTTTCTTTTTCATTTTTTTCTTAGCATTTAGGACAAGTCCTCTCAGAGTAGGGGCAAGGCCTACATTCACACTACCCTCCATAGACCTCACTTGTAGGAATTTACTCGATTTATGGTTGTTTTTGTTGTTGTTGACAAGTATAGTGGTCTATTAAGATCTTTAAAACATAATTCAAATCAACAGTCTTTCTTGATTATCCATTATTTAAACCAAATGATTAGTGAAAAGAGTAGCATAACTGTAATTAGAAATTGAGATTCAATGTATCTGGACGGAATATAAAATTTATTGAACTTGCCCATCCATTTAATACCCTAGAAATAAAAGAAGAAAAAAATATAGGAAAAGATGGCTAATCTTGCAAGATTTACGTCTTCCAATCGCCACTTCCCTGAGTACGGTTTTTTTTTCCTTTTCTTTTTGACATTTCCTTCTCTCAATTTCTGAACGACTTTAGTTTCATTCAATTTTAAATTATTTTGAATACATTGCGAAGAATTTTGTATTATGTTCACGGCAAGCCTATTAATGCAAACTATTTGTCATTTGAATAAAGTTTAATTTTATTACTCAACTATGGTATATTAATTTTATTACTCACCAGGTGAGTTTCTCAAGTAACTTGAGTTTTGTTTTCGAGTAAAAAAAAAAAAAATTAAATCTATAATCGAATGATAGTTTAGATTAAAAATAGAGTGAGGATAAATTTTCTTCATTTTGGAATTGTGAAACCTTAAATTAAGGGTGTCTAACGGGGTGGGCCGGGCTGGGCTCGGTAGGAAAAATTAGTAACCGTGCGGGTTGGGGTCCGGGCCGATTACGGGTTGGGGCTTATCGGGTTTAACGGGTTCGGGTTCATCCGGGTAAAAAATGAACCGTAAGGGTTACGGGTACAAGGGGCCGGGCCGGGCCGGGTTGGTGAAATTTTTAATTTTTTTTTTTTGTATTTTGTATAACTATTGTAAGTTATATTAATATAAAGTAAAAATATAAAGAATACAATGAAGATGGGAAAAAATTATACTTATAAATTGCAAGTGCTACATTTATTTCAAAATTCAAATTTACAAATTGAAAGGTTTACATTTAACAACAAGTAAATTAACCAAAAAAGAGTAAATTCAGAGGTTTTGCATTGCCTTAGTAAGTTCGTCATAATCAATATGAACTGAGTGGCCTTCTTCTGGAGTGTTAAATTCGGATGGGTTACCATGTGTTAATATATCTCCATGTTCCTCGTCTTCTGGGCTATCAACATCTTCACGTCCTTGATTTCTTCGTTCTGATCTAATCCAATCTTTGAAACATACTAAAACTTCCAAAGCATTGCTTCCCAATGAGTGACGGGTGTCTCCAAGTTGTTGTCTTGCTTGGCTAAATGCACTCTCTGATGCAACAGTTGAAATTGGCACATTCATCACGTCCCGAGCCATAGCGGAAAGAACAGGAAATTGCTTTCCATTCTCATGCCACCATCCCAGCGGTGAAAATTCCTTTGTGCGAGGCTCTTTTTGCTTCTACAAGTAGAATTGAAGTTCGTCAATGTTCCTGCTACTGGTTTGAGTGTTAGAAAATGTAGAAAAAATATTAAAACTATCAAGGCCTTCTTCATCATCCACAGTAGTAGAAGCGGTACAGTGCATAGTGGGATTAACATTGCCTACATTAAGAGCAGCATCATCAATTACATTTGCATAATAACTATATAATCGTTGTAAAGATTCATTTAGCTTGTTCATACAAGCATATAAATCTGGGGTTTCAGTTGGTCCAATCTCCATATAAGTATATAAAGCATTCATTAATTGGTGACAATCAGACATCTTAATAGAAGGATTTAAAACAGCACCAATTAAGTAAACGGAGGAATTGGAAAGAAATATTTTTTGAATTTTGCTTGCATTTTTTCAACAACATCCCTATAATTTTCTTTCTTCTTAAATTCAAAGAGTAGAAAAGAAATTTCAGCTATATGTACTACAGCCATAGTAACAGTAGGGTAATATGCTCCAGAAAACTCAACAGTAGTTGTATAAAATTTATGTAAAAATTTAACAACATCATTAATGACCTCCCAAGTAGTAGTTGTTAACATACGGTTTGGATCAGTATAATGCGCATTAGCAACTTCAGTTATTGGGAATCTATATTTGTAGCAACATTTTAAAAATATATATGTATAATTCCATCTAGTAACAATTTCGTCTGGCATGAATCTGGGTTTAAGGTTATACTGGATACACTTATTCTTAAATTCCTTTATTCTAGATTGTCTATTATTTCCTTGAATAACACCAACTGCTCTTCTAACATGAGTAATCTCAGTTGAATATAAATCAAGGCCACTTTTAACAATTAAATTATAAACATGACATGCACACCTAACATAAAAAATTACGGCAAGTGGTGGTTGCAAATGCAGTTTTAATATTGATATTGCGGCATTATTGTTAGAAGCATTATCAAAAGACATACACAATACTTTTTGCTTGAGATTATAAAATTTAACAACTTCACAAATAGTAGTACTTATAAACGCAGCAGTATGACTCTGATCTTCATCATATTTAAAAGCGATAATACGTTTTTGCATACAATAATTATCATCTATCCAATGACATGTAATTGTCAAATAATCATTTCCATTAACAGCATGGCCAATATAAGAAGTTAGAGAAACTCTACAAGGAAGGTGGCTAAACAAATAACATATGTATGTTTGATATTGTCCATGAAGTCTAAAGATATCAGATCTACAAGTACTTCTAGGGATACCTTTAAATAAAGGATTGTAAATCCTTCGAATATACATAATAAGATATGATGAAGAAGCAAAAGAAAAAGGTAGACAACCCAAAGCAATCATTTTTGCTAACTCCTCACGATCCTTCATTTTATCATATTTCATAAGACCTCTGGTAGTAGGGTTTAGAGTTGTTTGATTTCCATCTCCATCAGAGCCCCATTCTATAGGATGCTCAATTCTCATATGTCTACTAAGTGTCCCAGTCCCCCCTAATTGTCCTCCAGTCTTATATTTAAAAGTATCATTACAAAGTTTGCATTTAACTCTATCAGTACCTTCTATTTCGTCAAAAAAATTTCAAACCTTACTTCTTTTTCTCCGATTACTACTCGGGGCCATAGGTGGTCTACTACTACCACCACGACCACCACCCCTACTACCAGCTCCCACACTACTAGGTGTAAGTGGTATCTCATCTTCCATTTCTAATTCATTATCTTTTATACCGAAATCTTCCTGGAATTGTTCATAATCTATATTATTATCAGATAATGTTTCAGGAATATTTGTAGAGTCATTTAAATTACTACCAGATGCTAAAGCAGAAGTACTACCTCTTTTTTTATTTTCCCGATTAGTAACCTTATTACAAACTCTTGTTGCAGCATTAAACATATTGTATAAATTTAACTACTAGCAACAATTAAATATGTAAATAAAATAGTAAATCAGAGAAAGAGTTGGAGGGAGTGCACCGAATTCTGCAATAAATTGAGCACTTGATGATTTCGCAACTCCAATGTTACCACGAAGAAACGTCAATTGTTCAAATTTTGAAGTTCAGTTGTTCTAACTTCAAATAATAAATACTACGATAAATTAAATTCCAAAAAAAAGAAGAGCCAAATAGTTGATTGCACTTTAGGTGAAGATTGAAGAATGAGAGAATATGATAATTGAGATTGAGAAATGAGAGATTAGTGAAGAAATGAAGAAGAGGGGGGAGTGTATTTATAGTTTTTCAAAGGGTTAAATTTGTAATTACAAAAGTGTTAATTTTTAAATAAAAAAAAGGCCCAAAAAGGGCTAATTGTGCAAATCAGTCGTTGGGCAACGGCTCCTTGGCATGTTACCGTTGCCAACGGTTAACATGGGCTGCCCAATCAACAATTTTTTTTAAAAAAAAAAAAAAGAAACTAGCCGTTAACCGGTCTGGGCCGGTCCGGTCCGGGTCGGTTTAACCGGTTCTACAGTATTTCTGTTGACCGCGTTTGACCGGTCCGGTTAACCGGTTAAAAATAGGTGAATAGACCAAACCCCCTACCCCTTTAACCCAGCCCCACCCGGCCCCCTTGTACCGGTGGCTTCAACCGGTCTGGGCCGGTTGGGAAACGGGCTGACCCAGCCCGTTAGACACCGTTACCTTAAATAAACAATGTCCGTGGTGCTTGTATAGAAAGACTCAAAGACCCCAATTTGAAGAAAAAAATAGCCGATAATTTAAAATACGTATGAACTCAAATATCAATTTTAATTTATTCTTTAGCAAAAAGATAACATACTTAATTAGAACATTGCCACATAAAAAATATGTTAATCTATTAGAACACAACTTTCTATGGTTGAATATTTGAAAAATCATATTCGGAGTATAACATCATTTGACTCTCAAAAAATTTGTATAATTCTATTGGGGGACAGATAATCTATATTATTAGGACATTTAAGTGATTATCCGATTGATAAGCTATTTCTTTAATTATTAAATTTTTAAAGGAGTGTCATGACTTATCACTTAATAGGACAACAAAACTAAACAAAATGAACGAGTCGATAAATTATGTCCAGATACATTAGGTCATGCCCTTTAAGCCAAAATACTGAAACCGTGCAAAATCACACATATAGAACCAATGATGTACCTATACCTATCTCTATATAAATAGTATTTACTATATATATGTTTGAGCAACGTAGATAATTTCTTCATCTATATACCAAGCAAAAACTCTATAAATTGTAAATAGTCTATTTTCTCACAACATCAAGAAAGCACAAGAAGCGACATTTCTTGTCGTTACAAAGTGATTATTTTTCTTTGCTGTCAGTGCATAAAAATTAAACTCTTTCTATTTGTGCATAAAAATGAGGTTTAAGAGGGTAGCCGCGGCATTTGATGACGTGGCAAAGGCGAGATTTTGCGAAAGCAGTGGCAGCGAGCATTCGTCGGTTGAGAGCGTGACGGATTTGTACGGTCTTGTGAATTCGTTTATTGAAAGAGGAAATGGATTTAGAGGAGGAAGAAATGAAGAAGAGATTATTAATGATGATAATGAGAAAGAAGAAAATGGATTAAGCAATAATTATTTTGATGATTTAGAGATTAAGGAGAAGTTAAGGAAATTGTTAGGTTATGAAGAAAGTGATTATGTAAAGAGAAATATTTATTCCGTCGTGGAAAATGCATGGCTTGAAATCGGCGATCGGAGTACGGCGGAGTTCAAACGGCGGTTGATGATTCGGTTGCGTGATAGGGGATTTGATGCTGGTAAGTTCTAGGTTAATTATGTCTTAATTAGAAATTATTGAGAATAAAAAATTGAATACAAATTACTGAATTGATTAGTAAATGAACATTTTATTCCATTTCATTATGTTAAGTTCTATTCTTATCTTTTTGAGGTAAATTAGAGTTTTCTAAGACTAAATAGTGATTTTCAAGTCATACACTTATTCTTACATGGAAGGGAAGCCTTGGAGCGATGATAAAGTTGTCTCTATGTGAAAAGTCACGGGTTTGAGCCATTAAATCAACCACTGATGCCTACATCACACCCTTGTGGTGCGGCTCTTCTCCGGAGCCTGCGTGAATATGGGATGCTTCATACACCGGGATGCCCTTTACACTTATTCTTACATCAATTAGATTTTAATTCAAATTTGTTGGTATGACTTCTTTTGTTCCATTTCTTTTTGGTGAAAAAAGATATTAACTCTGCATTTTCATCTTTCAAATCCCAATTATGGATCTAAACTATTGTCAATTGATGATAGTAAATTAGATAAGTAGCTACATTTATTTAAAACTATTTCACCACTTTACTTCTTGATAGCATTTTCTTGGAAAGTGACTAATCCACTTCTTGAATTCATGCTTCATATATAGGTCTGTGCAAATCAAAATGGGAGAGAAATGGCCAACTTCCATCTGGAAATTACGAGTACATTGACATTAACATGAACGAAAATCGCTATATAATCGAAGTTTATCTTGCCAGAGAATTCGAAATAGCTAGACCAACACCCTACTACACTTCATTGCTCGAGATTTTCCCTTCAATTTTTGTTGGAAAAGTGGAAGAATTGAAGCAAGTGGTGAAACTAATGAGTAGAGCTACAAAGAAATCAATGAAGAAAATGGATATTCATGTTCCACCATGGAGACAACTTAGTTATATGCAAGCTAAGTGGTTTGGTTCTTACAAAAGAACAATCAATGAGTTGTTGTTAGATGATGATAACAAGAATCTTGATTTTTCTTACAAGTGTTTGGCTAAGAAAAGAGCAGTAGGTTTTGTGTCCATGCCAACAATTTCTTTCTACTGCAGAGAAAACTTTGGTTCTAACAATGGTATAAAAGTTGGAAATTTGGCTGCAGCTTTAAATGGATGATGTTTGCTCTATCTAATAGCCATAGTTGAGTAGATAGTTAGGCTACTAGAGGTGGAGATCACATCACCCTTTGTAACTACGTTCAAACCTATTTCAGTGGTTAGGAAAGCTCCGGAGATTCTATGGAAAATTGAAAACGTTGAAGGCAAAGAATGGTAAAGCTTTGAAGCTGTAACTTGTTGGTTTTTCCATCATCCAATCCACAACAAATTGAATGAAACCAGGTGAAAAAGAAGTTATTTTTCGCTTAGATGTGCTCGGCAGATGCTAAAGTCAGAGCGTGGTGGCAAGAATTGATTGATCGAGCTGATTCCATCATGCTTTTCATACTGAGGTTGTCGGTCTCACACCTAGGCATGCTTATACCATATAATGTTTGCTGATCTATTTGAGAAGTTGTTTGACCTATAGAAAGAGTTGGACTCAGTAGGTGTGTGTGCCCTCACCAAGTTAAATACTAGACCATTGTCTGCTGCAATTAGCTAGTCTGGTTTAATGCTGATGAAAGGATTTTCTCCTAATTTGGGGAATGAGTGTTCTTTTCTTTTAATTGTTTTATACTCTTGTTCAGTACAATGAGTTCAAGTTTGTAGCTATGTACTCATCAGAAAATGCAACCAAGAATCAAAGAAATTTAATTTGATTATGCGCGAGTTCTCTTATAGCTTCATATTCTTGTGAGTGTTATCGGTAAACCATTCAGATTTTACTCATTGCAAGAGTAAATGATCCGCTCTCTCTTCCACTTTTGACTCTTTCTATCTTTCATTCGCAAATTCGCCTTACTTCACAGATTCTCATCTCATGAGCATGATATTTACATACAAGCATCATCGATAAAGTTGTCTCCATATAACCTATAGATCACAGGTTCGAGCTGTTGATACAATCATGAATGGGTTGTGGAAGCAGTCACTAAAGTATGCATTAAGGTAAAATTGTCTACATGTAACCTATAGGTCACAAGTTCGAATCGTGGAAGCAAAATAATGCTTGCATTAGGGTATTGCCATTCACCATATTCTACGTGAACGCAAGATGCCTTGGGCACCGGACTGCCTTTTACATACAAGCATGCATGGATCCACCTCTTATTCTCTCAGTGGAAAGCAGATAAAGGGTAGTTAGCAAGCCAGCTACAGGATTAAATGTATTTGTTTTGACTTCTTCCACTACTTATCAGCAATTACCAGTAACATCTGTGTGGAACTCTACTCGAGAAAAATCCAATTAAATCCAGATGCAACTTCCAAATTAATGATTTCCGTCAAACAAACAGCAGCACGTTAAAGGATACCAAGCAGTACTTGGAGGGATTCCATAATGTCACTTAAAATGCCCACACAACTAAGAGCCAGGAAATGGACATACTCTAGCCAAAGCTTTCACTATTTGCCTTATCTATCACAATAACCATCGATCATCTCCTGAGGCCCCAGGAAGAGACAAGTATATCAACTAATGTTGTAAGACAGTGATCCAAAAACCACCTTTCCGCTAAAGCCAAAACTTATCCTCAACATAACTTCTGTATCCAACATCTATTCAAATGCATGAGTGCCAAAAGCAAGCTTTCTTGGTTTACTATTGAATGAGTAGTGCTATCAGCCTATCACATAAGATTGACTGACTACCTTCTGAAAAACCACCCAATGCAGAATGTTTTGTTGAAGCAACTAAGCAAACTGCTAGGAATCAAAGCAGTGATCCAGGGAGGTGCAGAGATGATCAGTCATAAAAAACGGCCTACAGAAAAGACTGGATCCTAGGCATAACCTTTTGTTCCCCTTCTCAGCGGGTATGCAAAATGTAAGAAGTTCGGTAAGCAAATATGTCATTAGATTTACCACAACCAGCCACTTAACTTCTCAAGTCAAATATTATTCATATAGCTACACAGCCACCACGACAGTCAAGATGAAGGGTACCCAATTTAACCCTCTTCTTGGTACATGAAGGTGTAGCTTCAATATGGTGGAAAATTTCAACACGGCAAAGAGGCTTATCATTGAGCTCAGACATTAACAAGGCAGTATAGGTAGGATAAACAAGATCAACACGAAAACTCCCATAATGCATATATTCTAATTAAAGACGTTTATAATCAGCAAAGCATCAATATGACCTCTAAACGCAGGTTCAAACCGAACAAAACAGAAAAGTAGAGCGTAAAAAAATCAATTTATCCAAGAAAGTGTTGTAGATGTTGTTCCTCTAAAAGACAAGCTCATGTGGTTTCATGCCTGCCTTGAGTGAGAACCTCGCGGACAAATAAGCCTTCAATTCTGGAACTCCTTCAATGGTCTTGATCAATGCAGCGTCCACAGCTTTCTGCTCATCTTTCTTTTCTTGTGGAAGCACATTCTTCTTCTGCACTCAACAATCAAATACACAAATCACAAATTAAATCAAACAGCTCTCAAATGGTCTTCTCCTGCATACTTTACAAGTGTGTGCTATGTTGCTCGGACTCTCCAGAAACGTCGTCGGGTGCATGTCGGATACTCCAAAGTATTTTGAAGGATCCGATACGGGTGCGGCAGCATTCTGGAGAGTTCGCATAACATTGTGTGTGTGTATACATATAATGCTCCCACATACACAGACAGAAAAATTTGATAATATATACATTAAACTAAGCTGTGAGTGCATCACTTTGTGTAGATATATATTTAAGTTTAAGTTCTATTCACTAACAGTATACAAAAACATATACACTATCACTAAAAAGTAATTGCAAGTAACTCTATTTAATGGAGTTATAACAGGCTAAATTACACTGACGGTGTAAATAATCCATTATAATATCCATGTATATAACTTAAATCCATATATTTATACTAAGTCCATATCCACTTTCAAAAGGTATATCCACAATACATTGATCTATACACATGCACACACACATAAAAGCGCGCGCACAGCAAACAATTTTATCATAAAACTATATATATCTATACTAAGTCACATTTATATATGATCCTGAATTTGCATACATACTAAGGAAACAAATCTAAACAGAAAAAGAACAAAGAAAACAAACCTCTTTCTTGTCCTCAAAAAACTCCCCTTCACCCTTCTTCTGCTTCTTCTCAACCTGCTTAGCAAAATACTTATCATCAATTTTCTCCACATTCACACCCGAAACATCAACCTTAGTCGAGGTACCAATAACATAAGCTTGATTCACACGTCTAAGAGGAACGCCATTAAGCTTAAAAGGTCCAGTAACAAGCAGTAGCCCAGAACCAAGCTGTTTCAAAAACACAACTCTTTTCCCCTTAAACCTACCAGCTAGGATAATCAAAACGGTTCCAGGTGTAATGCTTGCTCTGAGTTTTGTAGGTTTTGGCTTGTGTTTGTTCACAAGTGGTTTAGCCACGTCATCGGCGGGGTAAAACTTTGGGGGTTTTACGGCCGGAGCGGCGGCGGTGGGTTTTTTGCTGTGAGATGGAAATGTGCCGCCGTTTTTCTTCTTGATTGCCCAGAGACCTTTCTTGTGGTACATTCTAGAACGTGAGAATTTTCCCAGGCCAGGAATTAGTTCTGGGTTACGGAGAGTTTTCTTGGGCGCCATTGGAGAAAGAAGCTGCTCTGGTGAGAGAGTAAACCCTAGTTTTTGAGAGAAATGGCTGAGATCTCAGCGTTTGGTTTATGTAAAGGGATACTGAAGATGAGAGCCCACGTGTATATGGGCTGGGCTAGGTGATTTTTCATCTTTGGGCTTGCCCGCTTGCCATGGATTTCGGGAGCATTTGCATCTATACCCGTTTTTTGTGTCACATTTTAACTTGTGCCCGCTTTGCAAAAAAAATTGTAAGCGTACCCGCTTTTTCACATAACCTTCAGCCCACGGGGCTGAAGTTTTTCTTTTGTACTGGAAAACTTCAGCTGAAGTTTTTGTCTTTATAACCGAAAAACTTAAGCAGTTTTTCAGCTTAAGTTTTCCAGTTATAAAATAAAACTTAAGCAGTTTCCAGCTTAAGTTTTCTAGTTATACAATAAAAACTTAAGCTCTAGAGCTTAAGTTTTCCAGTTATAAAATAGAAACTTAAGCAGTATCCAGCTTAAGTTTTCCAGTTATAAAATAAAAACTTAAGCAGTTTCCAGCTTAAGTTTTCCAGTTATAAATAAAAACTTAAGCAGTTTCCAGCTTAAGTTTTCCAGTTATAAAATAAAACTTAAGCAGTTTCCAGCTTAAGTTTTCTAGTTATAAATAAAACAAAAAAACTTCAGCTCTTTCTAGTTATAAAATAAAAAACTTCAGCTCTAGTTTTTCCAGTTATAAATAAAAACTTCAAATTTTTGTGTTGTGACTGAAAAAACTTCAGCCTAGAGCTTGAAGTTTGGTGTTGCTAACTTGGAAAACTTCAGCTCTAGAGCTGAAGTTGTCACATATGTTTATAAAATAAAAACTTCAAGCTCTAGAGCCTTGAAAGTTTGCAACCAGTTATAAAAATAAAAACTTCAGCTAGAGCTGAAGTTTTTGTTTAGTAACCCGGAAACTTCACCTCTAGAGCTGAAGTTTCTCAGTTATAAAGGGAAGCTGAAGTTTTTTAAAAAGTGGGTACGGATGCAAACAAAAAGACAAAGCGGCTACAGGTTAAAGAGAGGCGCCCAAATAGGGCGCCCCGTGCAATTTTTACTGGATTTCGTGTAAAAATTGTGTGGGTAACCACTTTTTAAAGTGGTATTTACTTTTTATTCAGTATTTTTAATGCTTAGTAATAGTAGTCACTAGTCTATTAAAATTAATATGAAAAGACTGTATTACCCTTTATTCTATCTCTTCATGTGTCGAGTTAGGTTACTGCGTCGAGTTAGAGGACTACTCAAGCAGGCATGCCTCCTATCTGATAAATTCATTCCTATCCAGTTTCCAGTCAGCAAGACATATTAAGTTACATTGGAACATAATCGCTCCAACTGCTGTGTTGGAGGATATATACTAACTTTAAAGGAGGTATAGTTGAAAGAACCAGTAATTGATAAAGAGTACTAATTTATATTTTAAAAATGAATTGCATACTACTGACTTTGGAAAGCCAAACTTTGAACAGAATTAAGTTATTATATTCGAGATGTGAAACTTTTTCCTGTATGAAAATTTCACTTAGATAAAAGGAAGTCCTTAACTTACAGTTACAAGTTCTAAAGTTAAGGACAGACAGTCCTTAACTTATAGTTACAAGTTCAAAAGTTAAGGACAATAGGTCCTTAACTTTGACTTACAAGTTCAAAAGTTAAGGACGCTTGGTCCTGAAGTTTGAGTTCCAAGTTCAAAAGTTAAGGACATGTAGCCCTGAAGTCCTGAACTTAGAGCTACAAGTTCAAAAGTTGAGGACATGTAGTCCTGAAGTCTTGAACTTAGAGTTCCAAGTTCAAAAGTTAAGGACATGTAATCCTGAAGTTAAGTACAAAAGTTAAGGACATGAGCAGAAGGGTATTTTCGTCCGGGCAGTTAAAGTTTATTAAAGCAGTGGCTAAAGACTAAAGACATTTTAAACGGTGGCTTAAAAGTAAATACATGTGTTATTAGTGGCCAACCGTGCACTTCTCCCGGATTTCGTCAACTTGTAAAACTGGACAAAATGGCCATTTTTAGACGGGTAATTGACATTTAACCTCATTTCAAAACTAGTCAAACTTTAACCAGTTTTTCACTATGTGGAGTTTCATTTATAAAAGTTTTGAACTTCATCTTATGCTAGAGTTTTTTCTAAGGCTGTTCGACGGTAAGGGACGGTAAGGGACGGGACGAGACAGACTTTGATCGGGACGGTGACAGGACGGGCCTTAAACGGGACGAGATACACGGGATAACCTGGTAGGCCCAGCCCATCCCACTAGCAAATGGAACGAGACGGGGGCCCTAATTGGGCCTTTTTTAAAAAAATTATTTAAATATTTAAGCATTAAATTCGGCACGGCTATTTTTTTTTATAGATACCAATGGTAATTTTTTAAAGTTGACAATGACTAAGTTTTTAAAGTTTGCAATGGCTAGTTTTTTAACCTTTTTAATAAACTTAAAACTTCATAAATTATAAAGATACTAAGTAAAGAATTATAAAATATTAAAACAAAAGACTTATAACGAAATATTTTAGTAATTATAATAGACTTGTAATTTATTTAATATAATCTCAAGCTATAAAGTAACTAAGTAAGACAGTTCATAAAAAAAAAATCAAATTTCACATACAAATACAAGTCTTTTGAAGAGCACATAATCTACGCAGGCACCTTCTAGGAAGGGTTCTGTTTGAACTTTGAACTAGACCTCTAAGTAGCTAATTACAAATTTTCATACTAATATTTGTAAGCTCGTATATAACTTCGTTGTAACCGATCTATAATTTTCCTCGGATGTAAGAGATTTGAGAGAGAATGATTGATTTTTGTGGGAAAAAATGAAGAATGAATGGAGTATTTATAGTTAAATATGGCCAAAGTATAATTTAATAAACTTAGGGTCAACATATGCACATCGTTCTTTAAACTCATAAATTTTACTCGCTTTATTAGCACGTAAAATATAGTCGCAGGTATGTTGTACTTTACCACAAGCATCGAAAAAATAAATTAATAAATCTTTTACGATCAAGTTAAAAATATGGCATGCACATCTAACATGAAAAATTGCTGGATTAATTGGACAAAGTCTAGCTTTTAAGCTAGTTGATGCAGTGGTGTTAGCAGAATAATGTGATAGTTATAACTTTATCAATGAGCCCATAAATTTCAAGTATTTAAAGAACAATAGTTGCAATATATGCTCCAGTGTATTTTGAATTAACAAATTTATAACCAATAATACATTTTTGCATGTTCGATTGATGATCAACCCAATGACATGTAACAGTTAAACAATCATTACCATTAGGACTACGACCTATATCAGATGTGATAGACACCTTACAGTCTAAGTAAAAAAATACACAACGAATATACTGCAGATATTCAGTTTGATATTTAAAAACATCATTTCTAACTGTGTTCTTAGGAAAACCTTGAAAAACAGGATTATAAGTTTCTTGAATATAATGCACAAAAGTAAGGTGAGAAGGAAAAATAAAAAGTAAGAAACAAACAACGATCATTTTTGCTAAATTTCACTATCTCTGTCTTTGTTACATGGACATAGTATAGTACCAGAAGTAGGGTGAAACTATTGTTGGAAAAAGTTAGAACCCCCGTCAGATCCAGTAGGAGCGGCAGTACAACTTCTAGGATCCGGGGGTTTTTCTGCATCTATTTGAGGTTGTATCCATAAAGGTTTGTGTGTTTTAAGTAAGTGTCTGGTTAAACCCCCCGTCCCACCTGATTTTTCATGTGCAAATCGTGCTTTACATTTTACATATATAGCAACTAAATTGACTTTATCATGTTCAAAAAAATTCGATACAAGTGATTGTTATACCCCATTTTAACACGGGTCAAATTAGAGTATAACATATTGATAAATATGAGGTTTAATTAATTAAAGAGTCGCCACCTAATTATTTTAATGGTGAATTAGGATACCTAATTATTAAACAATGCAATAAAGTTAACTAAATTTTATGGCCCTCTTAACCTTAGGAATTCTAGGTAATGGTTCTAACTATCTCAAAAGGAAGGAGTAAGGCACCTTTTAAGATCCATTAAAAATGGTTAACCGGCCAAACTTAGATTAATTAATAGATTTTAGGGACTAAATATTGTCTGCCCAAAAAGTGTAAAGAAAAGTTCACTGGTCTTGGCTAAAAGAAGCTTAAAAATTACTCTAAAAAAATATTTAATCAGAGATCCCATTTGAGCTCAAAAGAACGCTTTAAAGAACTACTCTTTGTAAAGATAACTTCTGAAACCATAATTGTTAAAAGCACTTGGTTCTTTTCGAAAGAATATTACTCACAAATACTCGTTTGCATCAATTTGAAAGACTTGACTGGGTTTATCATCAAGTGGTTATATCAAATGAGGGAAAGGTTACTAATTTTAAAAGCCCCCTTAAGTTAGGTGCTACATTCTATATGCTGAAATAAATACTTTAATAAGTAAGTAAAGCAACAAAATATGATAAAATTATTGTTAGTCCTAGGTTAACAGAGAGTTAAACTGAAATAACTCAAATCACACAAAAGTAAGGAAATATCACTCCCGAGAAATTCAAACAGAATAAACGCTAAAGACAAAAGTCGCCATAGGCAACACCAAGCAAGTTTCGCTTGATTTTCTCGCTATCCGGTACTCTAAGGAGTGGTATGCAATGACTCCATGTGGTGGTGGTAGTGTTGAGTATTGAATTAAGACTCCAAGTTTGCTCCAAGTGCATATGCAAAAAAAAAAAAGATAAAGAAACAGAATTAGAAAAGAGCCTTGCTCTTAAACAGGCATGAAACTTAGAAAGAGGCGAGGCAAACCACACAGTCAACTTACAACGAATAATTTTTATGATCAGAATAACCAGACCATACTAAACGAATTAAGGTCTTGAATCCGAAGGAACCTCCTCTTGTGGTGCAGTGAACCGAGGCAGGGGATTTCGATCTACCGAACTCCGACCTCGAACTTTCTAACTCATATGATTGTTAAACAACGATGAAATAATCAACAAAATGCAGCACCTCTGTTGTATTTAGAACCAACGGAATCGAGAA